TTCCATAGGGGTTTCGTGTTGATTTACCCATCAAGTCTGCACGCTACCGGGGACAGTACAGTAGCTATCCAATCAAGCTCTTCTATACCTCCAACATTCCCATCATTCTGCAGTCTGCCTTAGTTTCAAACCTCTATGTCATTTCCCAGATGTTGTCTGTTCGTTTTAGTGGCAACTTCTTGGTGAATTTACTAGGACAGTGGGCAGTAAGTATTTTACCACTTAAAATGAACTGTTTGTACGTATTACTTCATTGTGAAACTGAAATTTAAGCAGCAGAAAGCTGAATACTTTTGAACATTTGTATATAAAAGCTCTTTTAATCACTGAAGAGGAATTCTTCTGGAAATACAGGATAGTACTTTAAACTGACAGAGGGGAGATTCAGATTAGGTATTAGGCAGAAGCTCTTCCCTGTGAGGGTGCTGAGGTGCTGGCACAGGGTGTCCAGAGAAGCTGTGGCTCCCCCATCCCTGGCAGTGTTCAAGGCCAGGTTGGACACAGGGGCTTGGAGCAACCTGCTCTAGTGGAAGGTGTCCCTGCCTGTGGCAGGGGGTTGGAGCTGGAGGAGCTTTAAGGTCCCTTCCAACCCAAACCAGTCTGTAATAGGAATGTCAGAGGTCTGTGAGGAATCTCTCAGAATACCAGCTTGGAATGACCTCAAGGATCACTTATTCCAACCTTTCTTGGCAAAATAACTGATTTCCTTTTTCTTCCCCTCTCACAGGATGTCAGTGGTGGTGGCCCTGCTCGCTCTTACCCTGTTGGTGGCCTGTGCTACTACTTGTCTCCCCCTGAATCCATGGGTGCAATATTTGAGGATCCTGTCCATGTCATAGTTTATATCATATTTATGTTGGGATCCTGCGCGTTCTTCTCCAAGACTTGGATTGAGGTGTCTGGCTCATCAGCAAAAGACGTAGGTGTTGTGATAAACCTGCCTAGATGTCTTCGTTTAGACCTGCCTGGCTAATCACTCATCAGTTACTCCTCTGACTAAATATCAGGTGACTATGAAACACTGCAGCAGTTCCATAAAACTCTCTTTTTTTGCAGGTTGCCAAGCAACTCAAAGAGCAGCAGATGGTGATGAGAGGCCACAGGGACACTTCAATGGTTCACGAGCTGAACAGGTAAGGAAACGGTGACTTTAACAGGGTGCTCGAGGGTCCTGTCAGCTAGGGCAGGTGTTCTTGAAAACATTGGAGACCTCTTTCCACTGCACGTGTTCGGGTTCTTCCCTTTCAGCTGTTCCTGGTAACACACAAGGCACTTATAGCAGTAGATAAGGTTTACCTGTAGTGCCTCTTGTGTAAGTGGTATAATGAGAGAATTTGGCCCGGATCTCTGCTGTGTTTGTACAAGGAAGATTCCTTGGGTTTTACAAGTGTTTAATTTACCATTCCTGATCTAAGCTGAGACTATAAAAGTGGTATTTTATGCAATACACAAAGCCTGCTGGTCTGTATGGAAAGGTAGATGCATCCCTTTGTGTTTCAGTCAGAGCAGTTTTCCTGCTCCTGTAGAAGTTAGATAGCAATTCTCCATACACATGTGCTATCCTGTGCAGTGAAAAACTTTCCCAGTGTTCAGTTATTCACACAGCTTTCCTCTTGGTGAATACTTAATTTAGTCTCTACTTTGTACAAATATGGAAGACAGCACATGGCACAGTTCCATTTGCAATGCTAAATTACATAGAACATAGAATGGTTTCTTCTGAAAGGGACCTTAAAGCTCATCCACCTCCAACCCCTGCCACAGGCAGGGACACCTTCCACTAGAGCAGGTTGCTCCAAGCCCCTGTGTCCAACCTGGCCTTGAACACTGCCAGGGATGGGGCAGCCACAGCTCCTCTGGGCACCCTGTGCCAGCGCCTCATCACCCTCACAGGGAAGAATTTCTTCTAATGTCTAATCTAAATCTCTTCTGGCAGTTTGAAGCCCTTCCTCCTTGTTCTGTCTCTGCATGCACTTGTAAACAGCCACTCTCTTGAGTCTGTATCAGTCTCCTTTAGGCACTGGAGCTGCTCTAAGGTCTCTCCTTAAGGAGCCTTCTCTTCTCCAGGCTGAACCAGCCCAGCTCTCTCAGCCTGGCTCCAGAGCAGAGCTGCGCCAGCACTTGCAGTATCTTCACAGCCTCCTCTTGACTTGCAACAGCAGCTCCACATCCTTATTATGTTTGAGCTCTCAGAGCTGGACACAGAACTGCAGGGGGGGCTCTCATGAAAGCAGAGTAGAGGATGAGAATCCCCTCCCTCAACTTTTGTCACTCAGTATTCCAGTTGATTGCTATAGTAGCAGATGCATTGTTTGAGCCTTTGGGTGAAGATTCCTGATGCTGAATACTTTCTTTTCTCTTTCCCTGTGGTGCAGGTATATCCCTACAGCTGCTGCATTTGGTGGATTGTGCATTGGTGCCCTTTCAGTATTGGCTGACTTCCTGGGTGCCATCGGCTCGGGCACTGGCATTCTGCTGGCAGTCACTATTATTTATCAGTACTTTGAAATATTTGTAAAAGAACAGGCTGAGGTTGGAGGAGTAGGTGCATTATTTTTCTAGATGTCCAAATATTTCATGGTTTGTGTGGAAAGGGAAAGTATTTTGACAACATGCATCATTTAATCCAACAATGCTATTTTCTTTTGACGTGTTTTCAAGTGCTGCGTGGCCCATTCCTGCAATGGGCACCGAGCAACACCTGTGAGCAGCGTTAGTACCGGCTGCCTTAAGAATCCAGTTTACATTATCTATCTTGTTTAAGTATTATCTAGTGTTGCCTGTGATGCTGGAAACCAGTTCATCTACCTTGCTGTCCAAACGCTGCAGTGAGATGCTCAAATGTATCAGTTTGGTGTTAGTAAACACTTTTTGCACACAGCATTCAAATGTTAACTTTATTTCCCTGTCCTTAAGAGGAGAAAAAAGAAATATGAATTCAAAATTAATTGCCATGTGACAAAATGTACCTGGAGCTTGTATTTTATGTTAGTTTTTTATACTTTTTTAACTTGCATTTCCCCATCACTGAACTGGGCACTCCTTTTTTTGCGCTGTCTCCACTCAGGCACCTCTCTTAGCTCTAAGGGTGGACAATCATATTTTACTAGAGCCTGATACATATCTCACCTGGGAGCTGGTTCTGGGCTGGGTTTGCTGCACTGCAGGGCCCAGGGCATTGGGATCTTGCCCTGCTGTGTGGGGGACAGTGTGGTGGCAGCTGCTGTCCCACTGGGAAGTGAGCCCCGCTGTTCCATTTCAACCTGTACTCGTGTGAGCTGTGCCACTAAAACTTCATGTCCACTTTGCTTCTGTGAGTTTAAAGAACAAGGCCTGGTTCCTCAAGCACTGTTCAGGGGAGGGAAAGGGAGAATGAGGAGTTCCTGCTGCAGATCTTTGTCGCCCTTTACAGCGGCAATATACAACTGTAAACGTTAGACAATAAACTTATTTAATTAAGCTCTCTCCTGTGTCTCATCCGTGTGAGATGGAATTCAGCTGCAGGGTCTAATCTTTCCTAACATGCTTTGTTGGGAGGGGGAGGGTCTGGAAGTCTCCTTTTTTCTTCCTCATCCTTGTTCTAGAATATAATTCTGATCAGTTTTTAGCAGCCTTAATTAAAATCAAGCCTCAGGATTGCTCCCCTTCAAATCTTTGAGCTTTTCCACTTGGCTGTAACTAATTCTTTTTTCCCTTTGATTTCATGTTTTGATTTCTTCTGTCTTCTCTCATACTTAACTTGAAAGTAATTTTGTTGTTTGTTATGACAGGAAAATCTTAAGCACGTTTTCTGCTTCCTTTCTAAGGCAGGAAAGTCTTCCCAGTTATGCATGCTCACCCAAATTCATTTCAGAACAAGATTTTGATATGAGGATATGTTTGTTACAGCACTTAGATCCTAACCTTTAAGCAGTGGTAGTTGTTTGTGTAACTGGAAGCAGTCAGCTGTGCACAGATACACTGAAGATTCACCCACAAGTAATGGGAGTGAGGGAATGGGCAGCCTGGGGACATGTGTGTGGCATACAGAGGTGCCAGGCACGTAAGTTCATGTCTCAGACAGAATCCCCTGGCTGGGTCATGGACCCTGGGATGTTGCATTGGTGCCACAGCTGTGATTGTTGCAGCTAAACCAACCAGTTTTCTGGATAGTTCAGTTACAACTGGGACAAGAAAGCAACCCCTCAGGTCTAAAGCATAAAAAGGCAGTTTCAAACACAGCAGCCAGAGTGTGTCCCCATGCTGCTGCTCCTGTCATGGAGGAATCACTGATGGCTATTTTGCTGATGCTACTGGTGTGTGTGGATGAGAGATGAGTGTCCTGGGTTTAGCAGTAGCAGTCATTTTTCTCTTTCTTGGTAGCTGGTGCAGTGCTGTGTTTTGACTTTCGGCCTGGGAACAGAGCTGGTAACAATGTTTTGGTTTGGCCAAGGACTTTGTGAGCCTCATGCTCTGCCAGGGAGGAGGGGAAGCCAGGAGGAAGCAGAGACAGGACACCTGACCCAAACTGACCAAAGAGATATTCCATACCACAACACGTCAGGCCCTGGAGGTAACTGTGAGTTACCCAGAAGGGCTAGGGGACTGGAGGGTTGGAGGAGGTATCGGTCGGTGCTTGGTCAGGCTGGGGGGGGGGAGTTATCGCTCACCTGGTGCTGAGGTGTTGTATTCTCTTCCCTTGTTATTTCCCTTATTATTGGTGGTAGCAGTAGTGATTTGTGTTATACCTTAGTTACTAAACCGTTCTTATCTCAACCCGTGGGAGTTGCATTCTTTATGATTCTCCTCTCTGTCCCTCTGGGAATAGGGGGAGGGCAGGAAGGGGGGTGGGGGAGGTGAGTGAAAAGCTGTCTGGCTGGGGTTAAACCACGACAATGAGGAAGATGGACACTGTTCCTGCACCCGCCTTGAGTTAACGGGCTTTGGTACAACACCAACCACAGTCACTTAAGCATCTTCCTTACACTGCACTGACAAACACAGTGAGGGATGAGCTGCTCTGAAAATTAAACAGCACTTTTATTACCATTATTCAGTCAAGGTCTGACAGCCTGAGCAGTTAAAGGGACACTTTTTGTTAGTTACATAATTCCAGATAAAAATAACAGGGCCATTCCTATGAATACTTTTGCTCTACAAGTAAAGCAAAGGACCTCTATTACAAGGAAAGTTAAACCTTCCGAGCCATCTGAACAGGGCAGTTTCCAACCACATTTCTCACTTCATAAAAGGGACTTGGAGCGGTTTTTCTGCTGCACTCTTGAGGGCCAGTGCATAGGTGTAAACCCTGGCATCCACTGCCAGGTGTTCTTCTGCCACCAGCTCTGGAAAGAAAGAAAAATAAAATTATGAGATTGTTTAAACTCCTCCTCTATACACATGCAAGTCCTGCACTAAAACAAAGCTGTGCAGCAGTCCAGACATTAACTCTTCATGCCAGCACCTGATGCTGTCACTAACTCTTCCCTTGCCATGTCTCTCACCGCTTTTTAAGACAGAGGTTTCTCGGATGAGAAAGGCCATGAGGAGGGAAGCTAAGGCTTTCTCAATGTGCATTTAGCATGTCAGCAAGCTCTTACCATCAATTCTTTGCAGTAGGTCGTTCTTTGGAAGTGAAATAACTTCCACAAATTCTAGGAGAGAACAAAAGTGTTACACACCTTTAAATTTGCAAACAGTAAAGGAAGTTACCTCAGTGTCTTGTTTCTTAGTTTAAAAAGGGGAAAAACAACTGACTTAATGCTTATTGTCATCCAAAAGCTGTTGAGCCTGCATGCGTATCGCCGAAAAGCCAATTAAATGGGGGAAGTCTGAGACTGGGGTCATTAAAAAACAGGTCTGACATAAAGAAACTGGGAAAAACAGTGCAGTTGACAGCCATGGGGGGGTCAGAACCCTTCCAAAGCGAGACCTTCTCCCTTCTAGAAATGGAAAATATACTGAAATGGACTCTTGTTTGATTTATACAGGTACAGTAATGGATTATAGATGCATTTGAAGACTAAAACAGCACAAAGAGTTTGCTCTTGATGAATATACGTTGACTTACACCTCCCCTGTCCACCTGAATTCATTGTCTTTGGGGCTTCCTCTATACCTACTGTGAATTTAGTCATTTGTATGTTTTGAGATACTGGTGCTATAGGTGCAGTGCTTGAGAACTGATGCAATAATGTTGCACGTCTAGGCCAAAATCAGCCTCTGCATGTTTTATTAGGGCCAGGAGATAACAAAGCCCAAATAAGAACCAGTTTTAACTGACATGTTCTCAGTAAAGCTTGTCATACGTAGCTCACTCTTGACCTTGCTGTCAGTGGGAGCAGTTACCCAACATACCTCCATCATCTGCAAGGAAAGTAATAAAAAGGAGTAAGTTAAGGGGGTTGACGTACACAGAGGTTACAACTAAAAAGCATTCTGATAGCTGACTGTGAGTGACACTGTAGTGATTTCCAAGGTCAAGCCACAACTAACAGGAGTATCAGGGTTCACAAGGGCTTATGGCCCTCACTGAAGTGTGGCACCCAGATTTCTCCTTCTGGGTTTGCCAACACCTGACACTAAGAGGTCTTCCCAGGGAATTTAGCAGAGAAACACAGCTCTGCCTATCCAGACTGCAGGATATGATTTGAAGGATGTCCAGCATCTACATCAGCTGGGACAGAAGAGATGTCCCTACAGTGGTAGGGTCAGTTCTTTTAAACCCATTCTTTTGTTACCCTTTCTGAATTTTCAAACAAACAGTACAAAACTCACCCAGTTTTTGCTTAGGTCTTGTGTTCTCAGCCTCATCCCCGTTAATGGTGACGCTCACAATGTGTGTGGTGCTGTTTGACAAACCTGGGTCCAAGCAGAGAGCTGCCAACAAGCACAGGCAGAAGTTAAGTTGTCAAAAGCACAAGTCAGGCACCTTGACATTTTATCAAAAGCTTTCACAGAAATGCATCCTGATACAAGAGGAGAACACATATTTGGCATACGTTCAGGCTGGAAAGGCTGTGAAAAGTTTGTCTTCACAGGCTCTTAAAAGCAGTGTTCCTGTGCTTCTGGAAGGGACTTTTACAGATTCCTTGTAAGACTTGTTTTCCACAGCTAGGTTTGCTTTGCATCCCACAGACTGCAGATTAAACTGTAAACTACAATTGCCTTATAGGCTTCCTCAGTCAAGTCTGATTTTGCCGCCACCTGTCTCCGTATCAGTCCCCATCGTGTTGTACCTGGTAATCAAGAGCCAAGTCTCAACTATAATGACATTCACTTGTAATCCTAGGGAAGCTGCCTCACCTTTCTACCTTCTCAAGTTTAATTTGTGATGCTCATTTTGTCTTCATTTTGCTTTGCATTGGCAACAATCACATTCCAAAGGTTCTCTGGATTTACTCCAATTAGTCTCTCCTTTCTGGCCGTAGAACCTGAGTGCTGTCACCCCCCCACAGTGGTATGAGGTGACCTCCAGTCAGGCTGCATCACGTAGCTATTTTTTAATACCTAAGTTCACAAAAGCTGTTCACACTAAGTCTAGCAATTTAGACCTTTATACTAAAATGCCAAATCACAGCTTGAACAATTAGGTTTTGTGTCAAGGATCTTAATTAAGAGCAAAGTTTTCCCCTATAGACATCAAACTGTCACTTCAGTTCAGCTAGCGACTCAGCAACAACCAGTCATGGGATACTGCTTTGTGCTCATCTGTGTAGACTTTCCTGCAAGGCTCTTTTTCTTTAGAGCATTTTAGACATTTAGAGTACCTGTCAAAGGCAGAATTAGCTTTGGGTGGGAAATAAAAGACAAAGCAAAGACCTGGAGTACATTCAGTGACCTCCCCCTTGTACCCTGTTTCTTCCTCCAGCTCTCGCAATGCAGCGCTTTCTGCAGTCTCATTTTCCTCAATGAGGCCTGTGGGATAAATAACACACAGAAACAATTAAAAGTAGACACTTGACCATAACACCCATCCCAGATTGAATCCAGCCTTATGGAAGAGGTGAAACATCATCACTACAATACTTTTACACAGAGATAAATCTGAAGCATTAGGCAGGATTCCAGTTCCAGGACTCATCAGGCTGCTGTCCTCTTCATATGATTGTCTACAGAAGCCTTCCCAGACTGATTATCTGCTAACTTCCCAGGAAACAGCATTAATATCCTCATAAGGGAAAGAAGCCAAATGCTTTGACTCTTAAGGAGTGGAGGGAAATGCAATATTCTGCTACCAGACTGCTGTGCAAAATGTCTCCAATCTGCTAAAATGAGCCCATTTTGTATCCTTCATCACCAAATATTCCTGTTTGGGAATAGCACACTGAGCTACAGAGCTCACCATGGTTTTCTAGTTAGAACTGCTTGAGATTGACACCCCCAGCACATCTAAACACACTTAACCGTCAGCTTTCTGTGGCCCATCTTAATGCTCCAGCCACCTACCTGCAGGAAATTCCAAGCAATAGCCATTAATTGGGGGCCTGAACTGTTTCACGAGGACAATGCAGTCGTAGTGGAGAGTTCTCTGTAGTACTGCTATCACTGCGACACCTACAGTCGCAGAAGACACAAGTACATACAATCAGAGTACAGCAGAAGGTACTTGGTGCTAGAGCTGGAAAGGAATACAAGCACTGTTACTCTGAGCATTAAACGTTTAGATGCCTGCTCCAGAATCCTGAACTATGAATTTAACCTCATTCCGTTAGGTGCGGTGAGAGGCAAAAATCCAAAATGGGATCTTCAAGGAGAAAACAAGAGGCACATGTACCAAGCAAGACTGAGCCTCAGCCCACCAGTACTAGGGGTATGCTCTCTTGACTGCAGACTGGGAGCCAATGTATGGAACTTCCCTACACACTCCCTTCATGGCTAAATCATCTCCCAAAGAGAACTGTATCCCAAGCCCCTCACAGCAGACCCAACTGACCAATCTGTGAGCTACTCTCTACCAGGGCACCCAGGACATCTTTGGAATTGCTCCGCTGTTCTGAAGTGAATAAAATGATCTTGGGAAAACACTCCTACCAGTAAGGTTCTGGCTCTTCAACACTGAAGCCTGCATTTAATTAGCTCAAGGGTACAGCAAACATTGCTGACCTATTTGTTCCCCATCTTCCATTCATTCACTGAATCCCAGACTGGTCTGGGTTGGAAGGGACTTTAAAGCGCATCCAGTTCCAACCCCCTGCCACGGCCTTGAACACTGCCAGGGATGGGGCAGCCACAGCTTCTCTGGGCACCTGTGCCAGCGCCTCAGCACCCTCACAGGGAAGAAATTCCTCCTTACATACACTCTACATCTGTCCCCTTTTCAGTTTAAAGTCATTTCCCCTTGTCCTGTCCCTGCATACCCTTGTAAAAAGCCCCTCTGCAGCTTTCTTGTCAGCCCCTTTAAGTACTGGAAGCTGCTCTAAGGTCCATGAATTTGTCAGCTCTTTAACAGGAAAAAATGCAGACAAAACCAAGCACCAATGTCTTACCATCAGCTGAGATCCCCTTTTTGTTGCCAGTACGCTTTACAGTTTCCCACGTTCTGTTTAACACAGAGGAAAGAACAAATGAATGTTTAAGTCATCTTCTACGGTTGATACTTTCATTTAAAAGCAAAATACACCATCACACAGTGAGGGCCTGTAAGAAAGCAGTCGGGCTTAGGCAGGCTCTGTCATATACTGGCACTTTAAAATGTCTGTAGTATAATTTTGTTCAGCCTATTTAAAGAGGGAGAGAGAAAACAAATAATGACTGTTTCAGATACTAAAAATAAGGGAAGGACATGAGTGATTGTCAAAAACCAAGCAAGTCTTGTATAAGTGATCCTGGAAAAGTGCAAAAATAAAGCAATTCATACATAACACTTGTCAGATTTTGAAAGACAGTTTTGTAACAGGACCCTGTGGATTTCATCTTTTATCCTGATTTTGCATAAGTTTTATAGTGTAAGTTACTGTGAGCTCTCAGCTCAGTTACTTGAGCACATGAAGAGCGCACACGTAGGAAAGACCAAAGCTTCCCTCTCAAAATAAGCAATGGGATAAGTAACCCCCCCCAAATCCACCAGCAATAAAAATCCTTTCGCAAACACTCCAATCTTGGCTATTTTTTAAAGATGAATTGGGAGGCACTGGAGAAAGACAGCAGCAGAGAATCTAACATATTGAGGAAAGTAAAGCCACATTGTCACATCTAGAAAGATACACAGAACTAAAGCACACAGAAGGATTGAACAGGTGTGATAACACATGAGAGGACAGTCATTTGTCAGTAGCACACAAGCTCCAACACCATGAGCAGGCAAAAGGGAGGCCTCAGTGAAGAACCAGAAAACCCATGGGACAGACACTGGTCATCAGTCTAGTTGTGTGGCTACAACTTGCTTCTGCACAGTTGCAAGGCACTGGAAATGCCAAGTAAACCAGGATCCACTGTGCCCAGAAGCATTTAGGAACCCAGTTCAATGCCACATGCCAGAATATCTGCTAGAGTAAGAGTTCATTTTTCTCTGAACAGTACAAACTATAAAGTTATTGGAGAATGAATAACTCTCATCTTGTTTGGAGTAACAGGTTTGGAATGCTCCTGTTGTCTAGCCTGGGGCTATGCTGACTGGGAACAGTATAGAAGTCTGAGATGCCAGAGAAGCAGTTACCTGGTTTTACCAAAGGGATCAGTGTAAGTTGTTTCTTCAAGTTTCAACCATTTCCTTTCTGCAATTACCTAAAATACAGGATTTTATTTAATTAAATACGTTATAAGATTAATCCCAGCTTGGGAACTAAGGGGAGAAACACCACCACTATTTTTGGATTCTCTGGAAGACAAAAATCTCAGCAGTGGAATACATGCTGGAACATGCAACAACATTCCTGCAGCTAACCCAGAAAAACACATTTACTCCAAGTTCTTGACTAGGAACAGAAAATAAGCCCAGTAACTTTTCTTAACATGACTTTATAAGCAAGTTTCAATAAATTCACTGGGATTTTATATACTGGACAGTCCTCAGCTTTTTAGGAAGCCTCTGCAGAGGTCGTGTTTCAGCTGAAAAAGGGTGACTGGTCTGCACAGACTTTTGCTATGCTGGTGATCATGAGTGCCTACTTACCAGAGAGCATGGTCTATACCTGAGCATGCAAGACTGAAAACCAAATTGTTCTGAAACTCTTCTTGCTGTGATCTCAGACTGTGGCCTTGTGGAACTGCTGTTTTCTGTAAGCAGTGATGTACACCTGCCCTTTTAGGATTTTGAGCTGCTGACTGAGTGCTTGGCATTGATGTTATTACAAAGTGTCTTTTCTGAGTTGAGTTTATTTTCCCTGGGTATTAGCCCAGCAATTTACTCAATGTAACCTCTATTTTAAGCTTTGCTGAAGGTACGGGCAGACAAGATTGTCTGCAGAATTTTGTATCAAGTTGGCAATAGGTCTGAGCACAGAAACCGTAAGTAATCAGGAAGATGAGCAAAGCACTTCCTATTATCTAATGAGACACACTACTGACAGCAACAGAACAAGGGTAAGCAAGTGGAAACCTCATGAAGTTCAGCAAGGGCAAGCGCAAAGTCATGACTTGGGTCAAGGCAATCCCAAGCACAAACACAGGCTGAGAGGAGAATGGACTGAGAGCAGCCCTGAAGAGAACAACTTGGAGGTGCTGGTTGATGAGAAGCAAAACATGAACCAGCAGTGTGCTTTTGCAGCCCAGAAAGTCAAGTGTATGCTGGGCTTCATCAAAAATAATCTGACCAGCAGGTTGAGGGAGGTGATTCTCCTGCTCTGCTTTGCTCTCGTGAGACCCCCCATGCAGTCCTGTGTCCAGCTCTGAGGCCCCAACATAACAAGGACGTGCACCTGTTGGAGCGAGTCCAGAGGAGGCTGTGAAGATGATCAGAGGGTTGGAGCACCTCCTCTCTGGAGCCAGGTTGAGAGAGCTGGGCTGGTTCAGCCTGTAGAAGAAAAGGCTCTGGGGAGACCTCAGAGCAGCTCCCAGGGCCTAAAGTTCAGTGCTTTAGTACATCAGTACCTCCTAGAAAGCTGGAGAGGGACTTTTTACAAGGGTATGTAGTGATGGGACAAGTGGGAATGGCTTTAAACTGAAAGAAGGGAGATTTACATTAGATACTAGGAAGAAATTCCTTACTGTGAAGGTGGTGAGACACTGGCACAGGTTGCCCAGAGAAGCTGTGGCTGCCCCATCCCTGGCAGTGTTCAAGGCCAGGTTGGACATAGGGGCTTGGAGCAACCTGCTCTAGTGGAAGGTGTCCCTGTCTGTGACAGGGGGTTGGAACTGGATGAGCTTTAAGGCTCTCTCCATCCCAAACTGTTCTATGATTTGATGATTCTATGAAATAAGGATGTGTGGAAAAAAAACACAACATAAAACTGTAGCAAAGAATGAAGTCTGAGAGGTCATTCATGTGACTGGCAGACTGAAATGCTCTAGTGCAGGACAGGAGCAAATAGGGCTTGTGTGGCCATGCAGATCTTGAACTTTGAAGTGAGAGATTCACCAACTAAAAAAAGAATGTACAGAAACAAAATGTAGTCTATGATACAGCTCTATTTAGGGTACACACGCACAGTACAGCACCAGTTGGGGGCAGGAGGCAAATCTGAAGCGAGTCAGGTATCAAGGAAATTATAAGTGAGCTGGATGAACTCATGTAATGTGTTCTTCCAAAGAACTATTTGACAAGCAATTGAAATAACAGTAGCACTCCCATGGTTGTAAACCTGCTACACGCACTTTACATGTAGGAGTTTTGTACTTATTTTGGAAAGTATAATATTTCTACATAACGGGAATTGGAAAAGGAGAGCTATGTGTTTTCAAAAGGGCTTTCTAATGGCTTTGTGGTCACAAAAACAGCAAGAAAGGAGATTAAATATATTCTGCTCATTACAGAGACAAGAAGTAATTCAGTTTGGAAGCATTTAGGTATATTTTAAATAGCTTTGTATTCACTCTGAAATCACTGCAGAACTAGAGTACAGGAAGATCCAAAAGACAAATAGAAGAAAATTGTGTTCTGCTGGTTATCCAAAGAGAGGAATATACTTCAGTGAAATAAATACAGCTAAATGTTTTGTGTTAATGAATGCCTTTAAACATTGCAGAGAACACAAAAAGGCAGATTACAGGTGATCCCATATCGCTGCAGTGTTCAATAGAACTGGATGATCATTTCCTCCCCCCCAAGTTATTGCTAAGCAGAAAGGGGAAAATGGCTGAAATCAGAACCACATCATTGTCCCCAGGAATCTTAAGAGGAAAAAGAAATCCCTGGTCTGTAAGCAATGAGACCTATCCACACTCCAAAAAGACAGAAGAAAAAATAGAGTACATTTTATGTGTACAAAAGAAACAACATCAAACAAAATGTCCTGGTTTTAATCAGGTATTCGTAAGTACAGATTTTGGCCTGTAATAGACCTCCCAGAAACGGGAACAGTAAAACAAAATCAGCTCCACTTTGCTGGAAGAAGACTGTCCAGCATCAGACCATGTAGCTACTGAAGAGTTACAGAACTACTTCTAATATAAGGGCCACTGGCAGAGGCACAGTAAATACTTTCCTGTATTAATCCTACAGGATGACTGAAAAAACTGAATAGTTTAAAACAGTAAAGCCTAATTCCAAACTTCCAATGACACCAGGGAGTACAACATTCCAAAGCAGAGGAACTAAGAGGCATTATGAAAAAAAAAAAAAAAGGGATAAAATTAAAATGTTGCCTGCAAAAATGCAGGTCTTAATAGAAACCCCCAGATGCATAAAAAAATGAAAGCCCTTATGCTTGAGAAATATGCATCTTACACAAACACCCCAGGGGAAGAGCCATAAATATATCCCAACAACACAAGTCTGAAGTTTTTTACCTTGAAACCTAGAGAAATTACAAGCCTGTGTGTTCATTCCAAGGATGGAACACTGGATAAAAGAAACTACATTTGTGTGACAGCAATAGCATGATGCTGTTGCCACTTTAAAACCAAGGGTTAACTTCTAAGAATTTACTCAGGAGAGAAACAAATTGAGGCATTTTAAGGTAGGGTGCTCCCGATAAACAGAACACCCAGAATTACCTCCAAATTCCTTCCTTAGGACTTAGTATCTTCTCAGTCTGTGAAGATGTGCACAGAATATTATTTCAAAACTCTTACTACCTCCTTACTAATGTCTTTAGAACAGCAATCAACTAAATTCAAACCCTTCCAGAGACCATCAAAGAAGGTACAATCCTCAATGTTAAGGCAACTCTTAGTGGTTCTTCATCGTGAAGGAATGGAAACCAAGGCTGAGCATCATGATCCACTGACTGTACAGTCTCTAAGAGGTATCAGCATTACTACTGAACTGTGCAAACAGCCTGGATAGACAACAGAAGAAACAAACAAAGCCCCCCCCTGCCCAAAGCAGCTTAAAATAATACAACACTGTAGATTCCTTTCTCTCCATTGATAATCGTTATGATTATTTCAACAAAGAGAAATGCCACCTTTTTAAAACTCTCTGCCCATCAGGAAGAAGTGTTCTGTCTATTGAACAGATTCTTACAAACACACAGCATCTACAGCATTTCTTACTCTGCACTCACAAAACTCTGATTGGTCTCAACTCATTTAAAAACAAAACGTGTCAAAGCCAAGTGTTGTACCTCTTCTTTAAGGACGAATTGTCTAGCAGCTTTTCCAACTTCTGTGGACTTCTCAGCTGCCATTTTCAGGAATGTCAGGTTCTCCCCTCCTGATCAAAGTCCAGGTTACTATGAAACAAAGTCAATATTTGCTTTCAGAGAAAAGTTAAAAGGTTCTGCATTCTAAATTAACAAAACTTGCTGGAGAAAGTTAGGGATGTGTGATGACAAGTCAGTTCAGTTTCCAGGTTCACCTGATAGTTTCAGAGTCAAATAAATCAAAGCAGAAGTAGAAGTTTGGGTCAGATCCCTGACTTACATAGTTGTGATAGTCCAATCAGCTGCCAATCAACTATGCTGGCTGAAGACACCCTGCTTAACTATTCAAAGGTCAGACACACATAGAGGCAAAATTGATGCACCCTGATGGAAACAAATTTTTTCATCCTGATGTGGCTGAAGTGCTCTGTTAACTCAGCATTGCCACAACAAGCCTACGCACACTACTGTCAAAGTTGGAAAAAACCTTATACCAGATTTTGGTGGTAAAAACTGTCTGCTGTTGAGAAAGAATCAGAACTAGAGCCTACCTCCACCTTCCATGCATCACAAACACGTAAATGACCCAATCCTTCCCCAAAAAACAAGGTCAAAAAGTCACCTCTGTTGCAAGCCTAGGAGGCACATGGAGTTAGTGTGACCACTGCACGTCAGTCGTGCTTACTGGGAATGATGTGGATAACACCGTGCAAAAGGCAACTGATCACGTGGCCAAGCAATGCTCTGCACCTGCAGCTCTGTGCCTCAGCCTGCATCTTAATGCTCTGCAGGAAGATAAGATTGTCCACTCCTTCTCTCAATCCAGTGGTAGGTGAAAGCCACAACAGTAAGCAATAAAATATATGCATTAGAGATTCACCATTAGCCCCTGTCTCACTGCAGAGCTATGGGGCACTTTCAGCACAGAAGCTCTTATTCCAAGGAAGCTAAACTCCGACATGAAGTTGTAATACTGAAGTCCTGAAAATCAGCATGAATCATAAGTAAAAAGACAGTATAAAGAAGTAAACCAGTTTAAACACCAGGAGAGATGGTCTAATCTTAAAGATACCTATCATTCTTAGCACTGACGGTCATAAAGTTGCCATAAAGTCAACAGGAATCTTTCTGATGACTTCACACCAGGGTTTCTAGCAACGAACAGCACCAAAAGCAAGTAACCACCGCCTCTGTCATACCCAATTATAGCACTTTTACTTCATCTTTATCCTCTTCTGGTAATATCTACTCCACATTTGTGAAACATTTAAGAGCATGCAGCAACAATCAGCTTTCTTAAATATTAGATTTGCTTTTAATTCCACAAAGTAGTTAAAGAGAATAGGTCCTACAAAATATTCCCGGTTATCAGCAGGATTAAAACTAATGTTTAATGTTTTAATGCCATTTCCTCAGCATGTCCACAGGGCAGGCTCTTTCTTAAGTCTTAGGACAGTCTTGTTGTATAAAGCAGGTCATAGTGGTCAAATGTTCAGGTTGTTTTTACGCAACATAATTCCTGAAAAGAAACCCTGACCTAGTAAACCCAATTCTGTTCTTCCAAAAATCTGTTTTATAATCCTTTCTTAAAACAATGAAGCTCCATCTTATAGCTATGTAGGTTTACTACCTATCTTACTACTATTTGTACAAAAAACTGTTCTAGAACCTCACTTACAATTCAATTTCTATCCCACGTTAGTTAAGTTAGCCACTGCCAGTTTGGTTTTGAGCCAGCGAAGTCTCCAACTCCCTTCACTCAGGATTTAAGAGCTGTAGCTGCACAATAGCCATGGTCCCTTGCTGTGACTTTCAAATACAAGATCAAGCTTTTCACAAAACCTATGCAAGAGAAGTCCAGCCCAGCATAGCATTTCCAAGAGATTCCTGGTCATCCAGAGGAAAGAGTCAAAGGAGGCTCTGTGCGATGTCCAAAGTATACAGCTTTAAAACCAGAAACCCCTCACATAGTTACTTACCACAAATTCACCTCCTGTTTGGAAAGTTTGTTTCCTTTTTGATTGACAGTATAAACATATCAAGTGAGTAGACAGCAAACCATACCTTTGTTAAACTCCTTTTTTTGATCAGGCTGAATAAATCTTTGTCTTTTAGTCTCCCCTCACAGGAAATTGTGCTCCAATGATCATACTAATCCTTCTACACAAGTCTGGAAATATCAGTGCATCTTCCCCAAAAGTGGATTAACCCCAGTTGTACCCTAAACCTCACAAGCTGCTATAGTAATGGTCTGTAGAACAGTATTAATACTTACCTACATCAGTTACAAAACCATACTAGGACCTCATCTCATGGCAGAAGTTGTTTTCAACACAGCTCCCTTCTGCAGTGGACAGATTCGAGGGTGGCTTGTGACTGGAAAGAACAAAATATTACACAGCTTCAGTGATTTGAATTATCACTAAAATTAAAACAGTGAGGAATTCACCTCCTGCAGCCCCTGTAGTTTTGATTTCGTCCACAAGTGGGTGCAATAACTCTACGTATGAGTGACATTTTAAAAGGTTCCACCAAAAAAGGAATTTTTCCCAAATTCAGTAGACTGAATAGAAGTGAGAATTTCTGCTGTTACAAAGCTGAAAAGCCATTCGGTTAAATGAAGGCTGCAATTCTGATACCTCACATTAGTTATACTGTCAAGGGTGGCAACACTTTTTGTGCATAAACAGAAATTAGCTCCAACTGAAAATTAAACTTAACAGTACAGTGTAAGGTTTCTAAAGCCCTGTGTTAGGTTTCACAATAGACCCCATCTTGCAGCCCTCAGGCAGGAAGGTTCTTTTGCTGGCAAATCAGGGCTACTTGTTCCATTTCTTTCATGTGAGGGTCAAACTCAGACCAGAAAAGGGCATACCATTTATTCAAAGTATAACTTTATTCCCATGGCTTTTTACTTTCTGAGTGGTTTCATTTCAACGAAAGACCCCACCATTCTACAGCTTCCAAATTATCCTTCCCAGGAATTAAAATCTTAAACCAACTTGCAGCCTCTGAATCATCTTAGAGTGTAGCCAAGCTACCAGGGCTTTACCTTAAACTCTATCCAAGTCATGACAGAGGGATTAGCTTTTATAAATCACTTTTTAAAAGCTATTGTCTGATCCAAACTCCACAACCCAGCTTACAGCAATCAGGTTTAACATAAACTCAGCAATGGTGCCCTAGGGCAAGCTTCAGATAAAACAAAATACATCATTTCTTATACAGAACGTGCAGAAAGGGACACTGGCAGAGCTTTATGCATGATATAACTAACATTATGTTGAGATACATGTGCTGAAGGTAAAGATCATTAAAATCTCCTAAGTCACTTTAAACTTGTTACCAACAGTCAGCACACTCAGAGTTCAGCATTATGACTTTAGCAACAAAATAAATTAATTAATGGAAGTTGATAGGAGAGAAGCAGAGGAAAATGTGGGGAAAACAATGCTTCACATTTGTCATGGTTCTTAACAGTGTGGATGATGCTCTCAGCACCAAATAGAATACAGAAAAACAACTGGTTCTTGTCCTGCAGAACAGGCAACAACAAAGACCATCTTGCATAAGCAGAAGAGGATTAAAGTCCTCTCCATATTGTTATCAACCTTCAGACAACTGATGCGTGAGGGCTTGGGGAGGCAGCCTCAAACAGCACAGGTGAGAGTATGGAAACGACACAGCCTCCCACACGGGCACACACGCAAAGAGACGACAGCTTAAAAAGAACGTATTATTCAGTCATTACTTGACTCTCCCAAAAACCACAGACTGGTTTGGGTTGGAAGGGACCTTAAAGCTCATCCAGTTCCAACCCCTGTCACGGGCAGGGACACCTTCCACTAGAGCAGCTTGCTTCAAGCTCCGTCCAACGTGGCCCCGAACATTGTCAAGGATGGGGCTTAACACTAACAAACCGAAACGCAGCCCAGCGGGAGGAGAAACAGCTCTGTCGTTGTAGAGCTCCGTTATAACGCTGGAGAGGTAAAACCTTACGCAAGCAAATACAAAGCGGGAAAACAAACCCTGCCAGCCGGGCAATACACCCTCTCCCTTAAAGCCACCCTGGAACCCCCTGCTCGGGCCACGCACCCATAGGAGGCCGGGAGAGTGACCCGGCTGCTGAGGGAGCCGGGATCGGCGGCGGCAGCACCGGCTCCAGTCCACGCTGAGGCGGCGGTTGAGGTGAGGTGAGCTGAGCGCACCGCTACCGCCCGTCCGGACACCAGTGTGAGGTGCGCACCCCTGAGGCGGGACTGCACCCTGTGCACCCGCGATGGCGGCTCGGGTAGCGCCGGGAGCAGCGGGAGAGGTTCCGGGTGGATCGGGAGCTTCCGGGATCAGCGGGGAGAAGCTGTGCGGGTCAGGGCGAGCTGGGCCGGTTCGGGTTGAGGGGGAGGATGAAGAAGGAGCAGGTGGTGCACTGCCAGTTCTCCGTGTGGTACCCGCTGTTCCGGGCCGTCACCATCCGCAGGTGAGGGGAGCGAAGGGTGCAGTGTGGGGCTGGGCTGGGCTGGGTGCAGGCCTAGGCCGGGAGAGGAGTGTGTGGGGTGAAGGTGGGTAGATGTGTGGAGCTGGTCTGCCTTGGGTTGTGTTGGAAATGAGCGTGTGTTGTGGTAGGGTTGGGTGAGTTAGAGGGCGACACGTGTGGGGCAGAGCTGGGCTGGAGGTGGGGAAGGCTTGGTCGAGCTGTCAGCTGGAGCCCCAGGAGCTGGGATCTTCTCCCTATACATACCCTGAGGGTTTTTTTGGGGGGGCGGACTCGGTGCTCCTAGCTATCCTGGTGGGACCAAGCACCAGCTGGTCTCCACAGCACTGCTGTTCACACTTGGGTCCTCAAAGAAACTGAGGCTGAGCACACCCAAACCAAGTGACTCACTTCATGTTTCTGTGTATTTCTGGAAGCTGTAGCAAATTCTGCAGTTTCTAAGGTGTTGCTGCAGGTTAGGAGACGGTTATGAGAACTGGCAGTAACTCAGGGAAGTCAAGCTTCAGGTCATTGCCCTGTTGGATCAAAAAGACTGTTAGTAATCAAAGCATTTAATCTTTTATGGTTTGTAGAGTGTAGCACATGCATATATTTGATAAGTGTAGTGGCAGTTCTGCGTTTTTGGAAGATTCAGGTGGTATATGCAAGTTTTGGTTTGGATCTGGAAGGGAAACCTTTGGATTGAGCAAGATGCCCGCTTCTCATGGGCTAAACACACTCTTTCTTGGAGTTTCTTAAGAGTTTTGAAGGAATGTGGCACTTCTGTGCATTTAATTCAAAATTTTGGCCTCCTTTTCCTCTACTTTCCTGGAGGGAAAATGGGCATTGATTTGTGGGAAGGAGTGAGAGGGCAGACAGAGAAATGTTTTTTCTCGTAGTGTTAGAGAATAAAGCATACCATTATTGAGAGGCGATGTATTAAAACATACTATTCATATTAAACTCTTGTGGTTATTTTAACAAATAATATTAATAATAAGTGATTAAAGAAATTCTTATGTTTCTTCTAGTGTGATACTTCCGCTACCAGACAATGTGAAAGAATATTTGCTGGATGATGGAACACTTGTGGTTTCTGGAAGGTAAAGAGTGTTTTCCCCCTACCCTCCAACTAGTAATACTATTTGATATAGTCACAGCACTATTTTGTTTACACATATCTTGCATAATGATTTATTAAAATTTGACTAGTCTGGCTGAAGTAGAGCTCATACTGTATGAGCATGTGAGCAAGCTGGTGCTGTCAGTAAAACGACTTGCTGGTACCTGATGTGGAACCTAAAATCCATGTTATACATTCAGTCTAGACCAAGTGGTTCTTTTTTTTTTCCCTGGCTTTCCTTGTGGAGTTTACCAGTCTCTTAGGTGCCTAGTCTGCTGGTTTGCTTTTGTTGCTTTTATACGGTTAGCTCAATTCAGAGGCTTGATATCTCCCACACCACTCATGTGCCTGCTGCCTTATCCAGGGGTAAAGTGATTTTATCCCCTTATCCAGGAGTAAAGTGAGTTTTATTCTCAATATCATAGAATCATAGAATGGTTTGGGTTGGAAGGGGCCCTAAAGATCATCCAGTTCCAGCCCCCTGCCATGGGCAGGGACACCTTCCACTAGACCAGGTTGCTCCAAGCCCTGTCCAGCCTGGCCTTGAACACTGCTGCAGTAGGAGCATTCACCATTTTTGGTAACCTGATTCAGTGTCTCACCACCCTCATAGTAAAAAATTTCTTCCTAACGTCTAATCTAAATCTCCCCTCTGTCAGCTTGAAGCCATTCCCCCTTATCCTATTGTAAAAAGTCCCTTTCCAGTTTTGTTGCGGGCACCCTTTGGGGTTCCTTGGAGTCTTCTCTTCTCCAGGCTGAACAAGCCCAACTCTCAGCCTGTACCCATAGTAGATGTATTCCAGCCCTTGGATCATCTTTGTGGCCTCTTCTGGACTTGCTCAAGCAGGTCTACGTTCTTGTTGGAGACCTCAGAGCTGGGCACAGGACTGCAGGAGGTGTGTCAAGAGAGCAGAGTAGTGGGGGAGAATCTCTTCCCTTGACCTGCTGGTCATGCTTCTTGGGATGCAGCCCAGGACACTGTTAGTTTCTGGGCTGCAAGTGCACATTGTTGGTCATGTTGAGCTTCTTGTCAACCAGCACCCCCAAGTCCTTCTCCTTGGGTTGCTCTCAATCCATTCTCCTTCCAGCCTGTTTTTGTGCTTGGGATTGCCCCAACCCAGATGCAGGACCTTGCACTTGGTCTTGTTGAACTTTATGTGGTTTGCACTGGCCCACCTCTTGACCCTATCAAAGTCGCTTTGGATGCTATCTATAGAATCCTAGTAATTACTGAGTTCATATAATTGTTTGCATACACATAATCCGTGCGTATGGCAAGGCTGAATGTCCTGTATGTATGTATTCCTATACCAAGATTTTGAATGGAGAAGAATGAGGTGGATAGATATTGAAACAGTTGGTAAGAACCTGGGCTATGTTCTTTGTCTTCTGCTTAGAATCTCACTGTATGGCTTCCTTGTACAATGATTACTGCATGTGACACCTTGCTAATGATCAGACTCAGAAATCAGTCCACACTCCATCATTTCCTAACTGGTAGTTTACCTCTCACAGAGCAACCAATTAGGCTGTGAGTGTAAGGGAGTCATGTCTAATTTCTCTGCAATCAATTTATTTAAAACTGAAGCTTTTTAAACACCCTGGAAAGATGAAATGTCTTTTATAATTTTTTATTTTTTTATTTATAAAAGGAATCCAGAAAACCGTGTTGTGGTTTAAGCCCAGCCTGTAACTCAGAACCATGCAGCCCCTCACTCACTCACCCCCACCTTCCTCTCACAGCTCCTGGAGGAATGAGGAGGAGAATCAAAAGAATGTAACTCCCACAGGTTGAGATAAGAGCAGTCCAGTAACTAAGGTATAACACAAATCGCTACTGCTACCACCAGCAATAATAATGATAAGGAAAATAACAAGGGAAGAGAATATAACTGCTCGCCACCTGCTGACCGATACCCAGCCTGACCTGAACAGCGGTCTAACCCTTCTGGGTAACTGCCTCCATTTATGTACTGGGCATGACGTACTGTGGTATGGAATACCCTTTTTGTCAGTTTGGGTCAGGTGTCCTGTCTCTGCTTCCTCCGTGTTTTCCCTCCTCCCTGGCAGAGCATGAGACTCAAAGGTTCTTGGTTAGAGTAATCATTATTTAGCAACAGCTAAACACATCGGTGTTATCAGCATTATTCCCAGGCTGAAAGTCAAAACCACAGCACTGCACCAGCTACTAAGAAGGAGAAAAATGACTGCTACTGCTGAGCCCAGGACAAATTGTTTTTAAACCATTTTGGATAAGAAGCAGTTTCGTCACCTGCTTCTGCGGAATTGTGCAACTTCTTTAACAGCATCTACTTATTTTTTAATAAGCCTTAAGAAAAGCTGCAACTGACTTTACAGCTGTGTTATGCAAACATTTTGGGCTCTCTTCAGTCCAATAATGAACAGCTGGAGGATTGACTTAAATTACGCTTTTTAACATGCTTCCAATTGAAAATCCCTTTTAGAAACCAGTTTTTCTCTTAGTTGAACTTTCTTAGGTAGAAGTGAATGTGATATGGCATTCAAGGCCACGATCTCTTTTAATCTTCAGTGAACTAGTATCTGAGCTCTAGATCTCAACAACTGAATAGATTAATCCCTATAGAAGTACATTAAGGGGCTGCGGAGACTTAGCTTGTTGAAGAGTTGAGACCTACATTTGAACTTAAGCTGTTTTCTATACTGACTTGCTGAATAAGTCTTCAAAAGCTTGGTCTTCTCCTTTAACATCTTCACACTCAGCTGTATGAAAGAACTTCACATGTCACCTAAAACT